TATAACATAGTTCTAGCTGCTTCTACTATTGTACGCATTGTTCTTTCCGCTTTACCATTTTGCTGTGGTGTATATGGTACACTGGTCTCATATTTTATATCAAATTTATTCAAAATAGCTTTGACTTCANATTTTATATCAAATTTATTCAAAATAGCTTTGACTTCATCATTCTTATATTCCAAATCACAATCAATTCGTAAAGTAAGAACTGATATATTTAACTGATTTTTCACTGTATTTAAAAATAATTCAAACTTCTCTTTTACTTCTGATTTTTGTTTCATAAAATATATATATGTATACTTAGAGTAATCATCTTTGAATATAACAAAGTATCTTTTACCACCAAGAGAATTTTCTTCCATGGGTCCACAAACATCACTGTGAATTATCTGACCTGGTTTTGTTGTTTTGGTACTGCTCAGTGTAAATGGTTCTCTGTGTTGTTTACCATAAATGCAAGCTTCACAGAAAAATTTGTTTTCCATATCTGTGAATTGAATACCCATATGCCTTAGGTAATTTCTAACATATTGAACATTCTGATGACCTAGTTTTTCATGCCACTGTTGTAATGTAAGAATTTTTTCAGCAATATTCACTTGATCTATCTCTTGCGAAATCCTTGTTTTAAAAATCATCGAAAACAATTTATTCTCACGAATTCCAACAGCAACTGTACTATTTCCTCTTTTAAATGTACAAACATTTTTGTCTGTTATCATTATTATACCTTTATCAAGGCACGCTCCACATGAAAACAAATTTACTTTGAGTTCAGGTACATGTAAAACATTTGACAAATAACTGTCAACCCATTTTTCGCCAATTTTTGCTTGAACATATATATTACCTTTACCAATAGCCATAATATATTTACCATCACCAATACGTACTGGCAACTGAATCTTGAACGACTCATAAGTTCTGAACCACTCTCTTCTACTGGTCATGTGATCACTTGCACCGGAGTCCACATACCATTTATCAAAATCACTAATTTTGCTCACCATTGAATTAACGCCTATTAGTGAATTACCAGAATTCGATTCGTTTTTATTCTTTCCGTCTTGTTCTTTCTTCAAAATCCAGCAATCACGTTTCCAATGACCTGGTTTCTTACAAAAATTGCAAATTCCTGGTTTTCTATCATTATTTTGTTGATTTCCAAATTTTGAATATTTTTGTTTTTGCGTTCTAAACAATTTTTTCGCCGCAAATGCACTATTTTCACCATTATTTTTCTGGATTTCATGGCCATTACTTTGTCTTGTTTCCTCTACCATAAGTCGGGATGTCAAGTTTAACAATGTTTTGTTCTCAGATGATATAGAATCCCATGCACTATAAAAATATTTATAATTTTCTGGCAAGGTCATAAGAATTTTGGTTATAAGCATTGAATCGGATATTGGTTCACCTAACTGTTTTAATTGTTTACTCAAGTTTTCTAATTTTGATATATGTTGTGCCATATTATCATTTTTATCCATAACATAACTATAAAATTTTTGCTGAATCAATGTAATTGATGTATCAGACTTTTGTTCATATACACTCAGTAATTTATTCCACATACCTTTTGCTGTGTCACAGTTCATTATATAATCTAATGACTGCTCATCTACTGACATAACTATAAAACGTTGAGCCTTAGCATCTGTCATTAACCATTTTTGCTGCACTTGTTCTAAACGCAATTGTGCTTCTTTGTCTGTTTCTGTATCATGTTTTATAATTTGAATTGGATATTCATAACTTCCATCTATTTCAGAGAACAACACATCATATGATTTTAATATTACCGTCATTTGAAATTTCCATTTTGCCCAATTTTCACTGCCGTTTAGTTTGTTAATTTTTATAGATTCGTTTTCCATGATAACGAATTTCCTGTACACTGTCTGCACACAATAAAAAATTACAATAATATTTAATACGATCGACGCACTTACTACGCGAACGCACTTTAAATTTCACGATTAATTATATTACTAAAAAAACATCTAAATATTGAGTACTGGGTACTGGGCCCATAACCTGTTGAATGGAATAGGTTATGTAATTAAAAGATTTAGAAATTATTCGTAATATAATAGTATTTAATATAAAATGTTAAAACATATAATATAAGAGATGTACAACGGCAACGGGTCACTTTACTCGATAGACGGTGAAACTACGACTAAACTGTAAACATGTATACAATAGGCTGCATTGAGTAAAACAACATAATCGTAAAAGGAATGTGTCCCTTTGACCTTGTACTATACTAACATAAGTAAAAATACATTAAACTGTTATCTTAAATAATATTACTGTACCCAGTGTGTTGTTTAATAATATCAACACTTTTCAATAAAGAAACACTAATTAGGATAGAATTAAGGAATAAGGAGTAATGTGGTTTTTGTAATTATGCATCCATTTCTTAGAAATAACATAATCTAAAAATTTGCATCGAAGCGTTTATAATTACATGAATTTTAATCACTATATATAAAATAATTCATTATATAATAACATTGAATGGTATCGGATATCAATCGATTCGGTTATAGCTTATTAAAATTGTTCCACAAATATATATTTTCTTTGCAGACAAATAAAATAAATTCGGTTTTCTTTGTATTTTTTTATTTTTAAATCGGTGTAGAAATCGGTGTTATATTATATTTATAATATTTTGTAATCTCATATTAATGTTTACTTTTGTATAACTACTGTATTAAATAATAGAATAGTTTGGGTACAATTCTCTGATAAATAATACTAAAATTGTTAAATATAATTATTCATCAATCAGAATATACATCTGAAATAGAAAATAACAATAAGTGTCATACTTTATTTATAGAATAGAAAAACATCTTTACAGCAAATTATTAAATACAATTTTATAAAGCGTAAAATAAACTACAACAGTATTTTAATATTAAAATTTGACTTTTTCTGTATTGACATAAAATCAAAGAAATTTACAAAATTATACTTGTATAACCTCATTGTCAAAAATGTAATAAACCATATATTAATATAATTATATATCTTGCGATGATCTAATAAGTAAAATTAATAAAATCATATATTTAACTTAAAATATTGTAAGGAAAAATTTTCGAGTTTTCATTTCAGTATGTTATTAAAGTGTTCAGTTTAATAATTATTTTACGATTTTATAAAAAAATGTCGCCAATACGATTTCTTTATTTCAGTTTATATTTAATTTGTATTGTCGGATTTTCTAAACCAGAAAAAAATTCTAAAAAAAATGCCGAAGTGTTAACCAATCTTTTAACTAATAACAAGTGGAAAAATTTGAATGACGTGAATGAAGTTTTTTATTATACCAAAGTTTTCACCTTAAATACAATCTATGAAAGTTGTATTGACTCAATTAATTGCAATAATAAATTACGAGCTGCTACTCTTATACTTGGTTGTTCGTATGTTAAAGATTTAAAGACATTTTATTTTATGTTTTCACATTTCAATAATTATTGTTTAGCAGTCTACAACCGACGAGGTTTTGAAACTTATGCTTATAATTGCACTAAAAATTTATTGAAATCAATTAATAAATTATATTCATTGCTTAAAATAATGCAAGGAGCATTAAAAGCTTTAGACATATTACATACTAATTCCTGGAACATATGTAGGAGACATGATTTTTTATTCATTCGTTTGCTTTCTGATTTACAAAAGAACCATGAATATTTCAAAGATACTCATTTATTTGATAACTCGATGATCACAATAGAATCATTTAATAGTATATCTAATTTTTTAGACAATAAGCTGCCTTTAATCAATAAAAAAAGTTCATTTTGTGCATATATTTCTTATAATTTAAATGAGATGTGGCAAGAATGGGTTATTGAATATAAAACTATAGTTAAAAAATCCAACCTAACCCAACTTTTTTTCTTTGAATATTTAAATAAAAAGTTACATGAAAAAATTAAGCATATAATGTTTGACAAATTTATTGACCTTGGTTTCAAATACGATTTATCAGCCCATAGGATTGTTGTACCAAAACAATTAAATTCTGGTATGTTCAGTATTTTAGAAAAAATTAATAATTTTTTACTGATTAAGAAAGTATTTTAAATTTCAAATTTTTCTAAATGATACGCCAAAAGATCACAAATCGTGTCTAGTTGAATATATTATCCTCAAAAATGTAAATATTTTTTTCATTCTCGGTAAATGGTTGAAATCCTCCAAAACATATCGATTTTTAAAATGAGTAAATTTTGACAATTTTTTCTTAAAACTGGCATAAATTTTAAATGAACCAAATTTTTTTTTAACTAAAACCATAAGTATTTCCTTTTTGCTTTTTTCGTTATTCTATAATAACTTTTTTTTTGATAAATTAATTCATCTGAATAATAAACTGTAAATCAAAAATATCTAAAAAATTTAATTTTTATAAATATAATAAAAATTGATCAGTTGTAACAATATTTAAAATTAAAATTATATTTGAATTGAAATACTATATTTAACAAATATAGTATTTCACAAATACTAATTGTTTTAGTATGTGTGATTTGTATGTATAATATTGTTTCTGAAATAAGTATCCGTGATTTTTTAATAATTATTCTGGGTTTTGTGTGTGAAATATTTTAATATTTTTCAGTGTTAAATTAATATAATATTAATTTTAGATATTTGAATTATTTTTTGATAAATTAAGCTATATGAATGAAAAATTGTAAATCAAGATTATCCAACAAAAATTATTTGTATAAATATAATAAAAATTGATTATTTTTGGATAACATTATTTAAAATTAAAATTGCATTAAAACTAATATCATATATTTTACACAAATATTATAATATAGTTTCCGAATAAGTATCTGTGACTTTTTTGTAAATTTTTAATATTTTTTAGTGTTCAATTAATATAATTTAATTTTAGATATTTGTATATGATTTAATGTCAAATAATAATGATTACTTTCTATTAATACTTTTAGATAATAATACAAATTATGGATTTACCGATGAGATGACTGCACTAATACAAAATGAATCTAAGGATGATACTAAACAAAGTAAGCTATTGTATAGATTCAGAGAGAATAATTTATCAAGAATCACTTAATTAATCGAAAAATAAAAATAATGTTTCCTTTTGTTTTTTGGTTTTATCTAGGTAAATGTTTTTTCAATTTATTAATCATAAAAAGTTTTGTATGTTCATTTCTTCTTCAAATAGAAGTATGAGGGAAATCAGGCATTTATAAAATACAATTTGAAAGTTGAAATAAATGTTATGTAGGACTAACAAAAAGAAATATAGTAGTCAGGTTTACAGAGCACTTAAAAAACATTAAAAATCAAGAAGTTGAGAAATCTCCAGTGGCTGGACATTTATTAACACATAATCACTTTATGAAAATCATAAAAATAATTACAAAGAGAGTAATATTAGGGAGATAATAGAAATGTTTAAAAATAGAAACAATTTAATTAGTTGTGATCTTGGCCCACTGAAAAGTTCATTATTAAAAATGTGTTAACTGACAAAATGTGATATTATTACTTAGTTATGACGTCACTAGGTGATAAGGTTGATAATGATAACATTGTTTCCGAAATACGTATCCAAACTTTTCAGAATTTTTTATGGTTATAAGTTTATTATTTTATAGTTTTTAGATTAATAATATTTTTAATATACTTTTAATTTTATTTAATATTATAATTTACCAGTATAAAATAGTTTAAGGAGTTTTATACTATTTATTTGTTTTTGGTAATTATAGGTTTATTTCGTTATTTTGATAAATTAATTTATCTGAATAATAAACTGTAAATCAAAAATATCTAAAGAAGTGTATTTGTATAATTATAATAAAAAAGTACTAATGTAGCTTATATTATTTCAAATTAAAATTATATTAAAACTAATATAATATGTTTAACACAAATACTATAATATTGATTTCGAATAAGTATTTGCGACATTTAAATATTTTTAATATTTTTTAGTGTTAAATTAAATAATTATAATTTTAAGTATTTGTATACGATTTCATTTTAAATAATAAAGATTAATTTCTTTTGACACTTTTAGATAATAATATAAATTATGCACTTATCGATGAGATGATTGCACTAATACAAAATGCATCTAAGGAAGATACTGAATTAAGTAAGCTTTTGTATAAATACAGACAAAATAATTTATCATGAATCATTTAATTAATCGAAAAATAAAAGTTATGTTTTTTTTTTTTTCAATTTATTAATCATAAATATTTTTTTTATGTTCATTTCTCATAAAATATTTTTCGATTAATTAAGTGGTTCAAGGTAAAGCGTTAATTTCTAAAAATCTAATTTATGTTTTGATATATAATATTATTCGATTTTTGTAAATGGTTATGATGATTCTTAGATGACGATATGTAGAATAGGTAGAAATATTACTTGATACATTGAATCCAAAAAAATATGTTAAATTTAGTAAAAATAATGCATTATTAATTCAAACAACTCATAGAAAATAACGTCGGAATGTATTTCTATTTTACATTCTTAAAAAGCGTTAATTTGATAGATGTTTCAGCTTGTTAGACATTCGGAAACCTTTTCAAAAATTGAGTGAAAAAAATTATATGTGGTCGTAAATGGTCTCTTTAATAATTTTATATTGAATATAAAAAATAAAAAAACGAAAATATCAACTGAAACTATTATTAAAATCGTACAAAATAATTATTTATTTTATTTAATTGCTTAAAAATCATTTTAGTATATAATAATTTTAAAATTTTGTAATTTGCAATTAATACTTGCTAATTATATTTGATAACAATTTGTAACTATAGCAATCAGTAATGAAGAATTAGAAGTTCCGGTTGAAAATCCTGGAATGCCAGAAACAATAAACTTCTTTCCAGGAGGTAAAATATTTTAAATACAATTTATTTTATAATAAAAATTGTATAATGAATCATATTAGCATATTTTATGGTAATATGAAATAAAACTAAAAATAGATACAGGAAAAAAATGTAATTTTTTTTCATGAGTTTTTTATGTACAATATATTTAAGGATTTTATATTTTTATTTAGAATTTTCTTCATATTTCAAAAAATAATTAGCTAACCAGAATCTAAAATATTTTAAAATATAAAATATAAAATATTTTGTATACAATTTATTTTATAATTAAAATTTTATAGCATATTTTATAAAACAAAAATAAAAATATATAGATAAATAGAGGAAAATAATGTAAATTTTTTTTTCGTGATTATTATAAGTACAGTCTATTTAGGGGTTTATATTTTTAATTAGAATTTTCTTCAAATATCGAAAAATAATTAATTAACCAAAATTATATTATGAATATTGTACATTATTGATTTCAAGTTCACATACATAATAAATAATTATAACTAACATGATTTTGACTATTTTAATAATAAATTAGAAGTTCCATCTGGAGATCCTAAAACGCCAGAATTAATAGACTTTTTTGAACAAGGTAAAAGGACTATTTAACGATTTGTAATAATAGTTTTTAACTATTATAAATACTTTATTAACGTAATGTTTGTATTCTTTATCTAGGATTGAACCCTGATACTATAGAAGATACTATAGAACCAATGGACATTGATAAAAAAAAAATAACTATGTTTAATTTTTTATAAATAAACATTACTCATCAGTAAATATAAAAACTAATGATAAATGTCCTATTTTTTTCTATGTTAATATATATATCTCAATAAAATTTTAATTACATTTTGTTTATCTATGTTGTATTTATTGAATTGTCTTAAATACTCTTGTATAAAATAGTCATAAGTTCTTGAAAAACTAAAATAATATAAAAGTATGTAGAAAAATTTTTTCAGTTTTAAAGAAAAATCATTATAGTCCATGCTCTATTTCAGGCAGCTTTGCTATATATATAAAAAAAAAACTAAATGGCTCTTTTAGTGTTGATTTTTAGCTTCAATGTGCAGATAAAAACGACAATTATTCATAAAGAGAAATGATACATGATACACGATACACACACTAGATGATAACAAACATGATGACAGTATGACCAATTATGTAACAAAAACGATTGAAGGATTGAAGTTAATTAATAGTTTAATTAAAGTTTATATTTCGTGAGATATATATAAATTATTAGAATACCTCGAAGTTTATTAACCGCAGCTATGTGTGATGGTGTCACGTTACCATTATTGTGAGAATTATTTTAATAAAATACAGACAGCACATCCGCTTCTTGAGACTGATGAATTAACAAATAATATTGATTTGCAAATTGGCAATAGTTCTAATTATTATAAAAACCCAATAGACCTGGCCATCGTGGTCAGTCGACTCCAGTGCCTTGTGTCATTCATCAGTCTCAGTACTCGGTTGTCGCTGTCCGGCTTACTGCTTAAAGTAAAGTCTTTGTTTTTTCCTTTTTAACCTATCTACTCTCTTCCATAACATTTCAGAGAACTTGTGTCTTGCACTTCGTCTGCACCTCTTACTTCTTTATCTTCTCTTATACCCAAAGTATTTGTGTCTTGCCTTCGTCTGCACCTCATACCTAGGTTTTACCCTTATTTCCTTCCTATAACAACAGCCTTTCGTCACCCACAGCTAACCCGGAGTGTCAGCCGAGCACGGTGACTGCTGTACGACAATACGCACGTGAATACCTAGACAGCAGGCACCACATCCTCATATTCATCTTCGTGCACATAACCTTTTACATATACTCATTTCATTTTATTGTGTTACGACATATGATAATTGAAGTTGTATGTGACTGATATGTGAAACATTCCGTAGACCTGATTAGATTAAAGAACAGGGATAAAATATACGCGAGTACTTAAGCTATTCATACAATAAAATAAATATTACATTTAATTTAATTGTTATAAAAGAAAATTAAGTTAAACATGGATAAAAATACGAATGTATCAAAAACCATGTCTATAATGAAAGGCAACAAAAATAAATAAAAATAAAATACTTAAACAAAACTATATAATATAACATCACGGACGGCATTGGAACACATCTTTTAATGTTAATCGTAAATTAATGAAGTTATAATTTTAATTATATTTATTCCTTTTTATCGCTTTATCTAGCGGTCAGCGGCGAAAATAATAATTTTTTGAGACCGCTGTCTCAGAAAAAGTTTTATTCGAGCAAACTCTTGCGCGATGAGAAATAAATAATCAGACATAACAAAAAAATTATAAACGGTGCACTTTCGATTTTGTGACGTTACAAGCCTAACATCTAGAATTTCTTAGTTTTTTTAGTAAAAATGTTAAATTTCCCTTATAGGTCGCAAATAAAAAACAAAATATTTGCATAATCTTGAAATGATAGCGATATACCAAGTTTGTTCTTGTGATCGGCTGCATAAAAATACAAATATTATAAATTAAAAAATTAGTACAATTTTCTCTAATGATTATTAAGTCATATAACAATTTACTATATTCTGATATCAACTACAAGGTATCAATTAATAACTTTAAGATTTAGGTGCTTCGTTACTACCCAAAAAATTAAAAAATTGGCCATTTTTACTGAAAATTGTGTGATATATTACTTAGGAAATTTTAACAATTTGAAACTATCATATGTTATAATTATGTTATTAGAAATTATGGAATTGTAACAGAATAGTCTTCGAAATCCCAGGTCTAAATTTATATAGTACTTATATGATTCGTTTAGAAAACTTTTTTATTTATTGATATATTTATTTATTTTCAGAGTTTAGAACATTCATTTATAACATGGATGCATTTACACTATCATTCATTAAAAACAAAATTGAATGAATTCTTGTTCACACTCACTAGAAATTAATATATTCATGATAACATTATATTGATTGAATAATATATCATATATTATAACTTTTTATTCTAACTTAAAAAAGTTAACTGTTATTAATTTTAGCTTCGATGCAAATCTGAGAAGATAGTGATTTTACTATGATGTTTTTTTTTTTTTTATGTGTCTGTTACCACTTTTTTCAGCTCTCACTGAACCGATTTCTTTCAACAATACGTCAAAAGATTACAAATCGTATCTAGTTGAAGACTTTACCCTTAATTAATTATCCACCAATTTCTTAGAATTAAACACTATCTACAGATTTGCATCGAAGCGTTTCTTATGATAGTGATTTTAATCACTGTCAGATTAAATCTATACTGAACCCAACTATGCCACGTCCCCACTGTGCAGGTTTTTTTTTATGCCTTTTGCCACTTTTTCTCAGCTCTCCCTGACCGATTTCGTTCAACAATACGTCAAATGATCACAAATCGTATCTAGTTGAAGACATTACCAATAAAAATTGAAAATTTTTCCCTCGTTCCTTGCTAATGGTGGAAATCTTAATTACAAAAATTACAAATTTAATGATCGGTAAATTTAGACATTTTTTTTAAAAATTTTTAAAATCTTTTTAAAACTTCCATAATATTTTCAAAAATCAACATTTTAACAAATTTTTTTTTATATATAAACCTTAGATATATTCCTTTCATTTGATATCATTTTTTTTGAAAATCAACACTAACTTGCTCAAGGGGGGGGCGATTTAAAATAGTAACTTTTTTACATAAACTAACTTTTTTAACTTAACTTTTGAAAATGTTTCGGAAATACTGCGTCCTTTAAACATATACCAAATAAAAGTTTATGTTATGTACTATAAAATGAAAAAAAAAAATTGTCCCGACACTTCATCTTCTGCATGCAAGCGGCTGCCGTAGTTAAAAAAAATGATATTTTTGTGTTAAAATTTTCAATTTTTGATTTCAACATTAAAATGCTATAACTTTTCGAAAAATGTATGTATCAACTCAATTTTTTTTTCTAAATACATTATAAGTACATCTTTTATTTGACATACATTTTATTAAAATTGGACAATTTCCCCAAATATTAACAAAAACAAAATAATATTTTTTTATATTGAAACCTTAGGTAATTTTATTTCATTTGAAATCATTTTTTTTTGAAAATTTAACAATTATTCTATTCACCGGGAGGGATTTAAATAGCAATACAGAAATATTCACAGTTTTATTTAATCTTAAATTTGAACTTATATTATATTATGTATAGTGTACTATGAAAAAAAAAATTCGAAATATACATTTTCTTTTTGGTGAAAATGGCTACCGTATTCAAAAATATGCTATTTTTGTATTAACATTCTAGGTTTTGTATTATATATTATTTTAAAATATCTTACAAGGGGAATACATTGACTTTCATGATTATTCAGGATCAAGTATTATGATATCTGACAGTGATTAAAATCACTATAAAAAAAAACGCTTCGATGCAAATCTTTAGATAGTGTTTAATTTTAAAAAATTGGTGGATTATACCAAAAGCAACATGATCTGCTAGTTTGTTATTAATATACTGATTCAGATAACGTATGTCGAATGAAAAAGAGATTATTAAAAAATATTATTTCTCATAAAAAAATTATGTGAATCCATACATTTTTCAATAAATTACATCATTATAAAGTTAAAAAAATAAAATCGAGAATTTTCACACAATAATAGCATTTGGTAGCCATTTCACCATGAAGACAAAATGAAGTCCGAAATTTTTTTTTTTTGCATAATAAAGTACATTACATTAGCTTTAATTTAAGATATATATAAAAGTGTCAGACCTTCCGGAACATTTTCAAAAGTTAAGTTGAAAAAGTTAAGTTGAAAAAGTTAATTTTTTGTAAAAAAGTTGTCATTTTAAATCCCCCCTTGTGGGCAGGTTAAGGGTTAAATTTATGACAAATATATACCAAATGTAAGGTAATGATTTTATGCATCTACATAAAAAAGAGTTATATTGATATGTTCATTTTTGAAAAAGTTATG